ACAGATGACCCCAAACTGACCAACAAGGTATTCCATCCCACATATGGCATACTCAGTATAAAGCTGAGGGACCACGAGGGTCAAGCTCTCCTCTCTTCCTCTTTGATTCTTCTGCTATGGCTGATGGCCAAGCAGAACCCTGCCAGTTCCTCTGCCTTTGATCCTGATCCAGGTGCTCCTGAATCCAGTTCCTGTATCCAGATCCCACATCCTGCTGTCACCTGCTGCTAGGTCTTGTCTGGGACTTCTCCAGTGCCCTGCTCCACACACCCTCTGGTAACGTAATCCATCATTGGGGTGGGGGGGGAGGTGGGGGAGGATTTTATATTGGTTTTGTATATATCTCCTATTTACAGTATTATTCTGTAGTATTACTATTACTGTTTCATTAAATCTGTTAGTTTTCTTTTCCAACTTGTAAGTCTCTCTCCCCTATTCTCTCTTGTCTTCCCCTTCTGGGGAGGGTAGAGGGGTTAATAGAGAGCATCTGTCCAGCATTTAGTGCCCAGCCCAGACCTAAACCTCAACACAGTCAGGCTGTCTCTAGCTCCTTTGTTTTCAGCCTTGTCAAGTCTTCCTTCTTACTTGTCTCCACGTCCCCTGTGCACTTATCTGTGGGCATGCAATTCAGGATTTTGAAGTCAGAAGGTAGCACAACAATTACAAATTGGCATTGCACAGCTTAATTACCTGCTGTTACACCCCAGTAACATTACTTTACAACCCAGAATTACTTTTGAGCATTCTAAGGAACTATTATAAAATTTAGGATACGGGTATTTATTTTTTGCAGTTGCACCAAGAAACCATAACCAAGGGTCTACAAAGAACCACACACTGAGTGCATTTTGTGGGTCTGAAGTCTAAATGAAGACATAATAAACTGGAAGAAAAAACAAAATAGATGAGACAGAGATTATGCACCTAAGGCCAGCAAAACACGGACCAAACAGGTGCAAGATATGCTTGAGGAACTAAAATAATTATCATTATGCAGAGGCACTTGTGCTTCTTAGTCTGATAAAATGATGGCCTCAGCAGAGCCCACTGGAAATCACTTAGTCTAACACATAATGGAGACTAGTTGCTGCAGATGAATAGAAAAAAGTATTATAAAATTCTGACTAATTCATTAATTTGTGTGATAGGAAAAACCCCCAAACGGTTACAGTTTTAAGTTAGATGAAGAAAAGACAGTGTAATGCAGTTCATATGTGCAGAGCATTCCTTGCAATATGATGAAAGAGTCCATGAAGTGGGAATTTCAAAGGTTATTTCCAAATCAAGGAGACACTTGCCACTAAGTGAGACCTAGAATTATGAAAATATGCCAAATTTCTCTAAATATACAAAAACGCTGTAACAAAGTCAGTCTCAAAGATATCTCATGCTTGTGTATGACTACTGAATCTTTCAAAGAAGCATACGAATTTAAGTTTCAGAAGTTAGATATTTTGTATTTTTTTCTGTAGGTCAGTTTCCTTGTTTTAAGGTAGCTGAGACACTACGTGGATAAAGTTTTTGATATGCAGCTCTGTTTTGCATTCAGCGTTGTGAGGACCTTGTCACTGCAATAATTAACGAACTGCTGACATGTCTCTGCACACAAATTACCTCCTCGAATACTCTGCTGGCTAGCGTTAATATTCGCTGTGAAGGAATGAAGTGAAAGCTTCTGCTGCCAGTCACTCACCTCTGAGAAGCTGCTGGCTTATAATGCAGAAAAATGTTGAGAAGGATGCATGCAATACTGCAAACCTCTTGCTGAACCAGGAGATAAAAATCAGTAACAAACAACTATGCAACACACTGCACATGTTAACATGTGGCAGCCACCAAAAGCGCAGCTGCAGGGACTTGATGTCTGTGGGCTGCAGCTCCTACCAAGAACAGAAACCAGAGATTCATACCACTGCTCACACTGCTACACTTGCTTACTGACACAAAATCAGTGTTTATTCTGTGGTCTTTTGTTATGAATTTCTCATGCATAGCAGGAGCACCAATTCTCTCTAAATTCTTGAAAAAGTAAGGTACTGTCTGTATGCAGTAGATTGTGTTCATTTATGAATAGATTAGACAAGTCCCAGGAAAAATATTCTAATCAGATGGGAAAATAGTCACTTAGGATGGATTCTGAGGACAGCAAAACAGGTTATTTAATGAGCTTTCAGCTTTATTTCTGTTTGAAATTACTCTGTAAGAACAAAGAATGTCAGGAGAGTAGGTCCTTAGGCAAAATGCTACTATTAAAACAGTAGAAGAAAGAGATTACATATTTAAGTGTTGAAGCATGTGATTAAAACAACAGTCTTGTGCCTTTTCAATAGCTTTACATAACATTATGGTGATTTTGAGAATGACAAAACTTTACAGCAATTAGTATATTCAGTTTACAAAGAGATCGCTAATGTGTCATCTTTTCCTCTTTGACCCTCTAACTAAGTAAAGGTGTTACCTTTATGATATCCTAAACAGCACTTCTTCAACTTGAAAGATTCACATAGCAATTTGGAAAGCTGGAAAAAAAAGAAGTCTCTAACCATAGCTACACGGGGATATTTAACTAGGCAAAACAATTAGCTGAACTGCAATGCATTTAGTTTGCTGTGCTTCACACTATCAAGCTTACAAAATATTGACACACGCTGTCACCAGCAGTATCTGCTTCCGTTCAATGAACGTCAGTGGGTACACACAGCAACCTCGCTGCCAAAAGAGCTCCTATCCCATGTGGTGGTTGTGGGGGGCAGAGGGAGAGCAGAACAGCCACATTCCTCCTCCCTCTGCCCATGATTACAGAGTCTTCCCTAGAGCCTTCCAGTCCAGAGACAGGCCTGATTTCATCTGGACAGATTACAGAGCAGAAAGCACAGCAGAAGCAGAGATGTACTGACCGTACAGACAGGAAGAATGTGCGAGCTCGAATCAAGTGGGGAGAGGAAGAAGCATCACAGTAATTTTGCTGTGCGTTCACAACACATTTGAAGAGTTCTGAACAAAACCCAGGAGTAGTAGATATTCTGACAAGAATATAAATTTAAATATAAATACTTCTTACAGGATTATAATTTAGTTTTTAAAAAAAAAATACTTAAGTTATCCAAAGGTGACAAACCAAATGCAAGCATATACTTCTGGAATTAAAAAACCAAATCAGACTACAAGTGTTAGAGTAAACCATCACATGCTGGACTGGAAGTGTAAAAGTATGTTCTACCATAAAAAGGCAGTATTGTACATATATATACACCACAGAAAAGATGAAACTCCAAAAACTAATTCCCAGTTTGCTTTTTAATCTAGACTGTAAGTCTATATATATGTTACTGAAAGCATGCAACATTTAAGTATCCTTATAAGGTAACTGGAAATATCATTTACCAAAGCTAGTTAACAGGAAGGCATATCCTACAGAAGAAAAAAATCACATGAACAGCCAAGGACTCAAATGCCGCTCAAGACTCTGGTACCAAATCATCCACTTGCATGAAGTACTTATTTTAAAGCACATTTAACGGATCCAGTTATTATTATGGCAATAATACAGTGTCAGGCATGCAAACTATGTAGAAACACACATACTCCACCAGCAGACACTGCCAAACTGTACTGGGTGAGTAATGCTTAACTTCTGAACTTGCAATCTTTGAGGAATTTAAAGCCAGCCTTGAAACAACGCAGCAGTATTCTCTGCTGACGTATTACCTCAATCCATTACCAATAACCTTGGATGAAAAATGAGAACTAAAACAAGGATTTGAAAGTTTAGTTTACATTTCAACAGGGCAGAACTGGGAAAATTCTGTTCTCTATTGTGTGGGTTTAGAAAAAGAGAAATGGCATTCACTGATGCTACTTTACTTTACACCAACATAAAACACAGTAAAATTTGCTAAACTAATTTACAATTAGATTCTCTATTTCTCTCTGCTCTTATCTCCAAATCAGTTTCTTTAGCTCCAGGCTACTCTTCTGGATCAACACGATCGACAATGATTAAAGTAACGGGCAGAAAAAATTCCTAAATGTGCTGCATTTTTTTTTACCTTTGTAGTGCATTTACAGTGGAAAATATGTGTGGAAATCAAGAAGCTACAACTATTGACTTAAAAAAAAAAAAAAGAGTTCTTAGACTATTATCTATCTTTTTGTGGGGCAGAAAGGAACAGCCATTAAATCACTGTGGTTCTCAGAGAGTGTCTGGGTTTTTAAAACGAACAAACAAACATGCTGTTACTCCTTCCCAGGCCTCTCCAGCTACTTACAGTTCCAGGATGAGAATGACATCTGTTTTGTTCTCATAAACATCATGCAGCATGATCACATTAGGATGTCGGATCTCTTTCAGTATGCTGACTTCTCGCTCGATATCTTCCCGGCTTACTCCACGTCGGCTGGATTTCGTTCTCCGTTTCTTGATGAATTTTGCTGCAAACTGCTGACCGGTGCTTTTCTCGCGGCATTTTTTCACTACAGCAAACTGTCCACTAAAAAAAAAAAAAAAAAAAAAAAGAAAAGAAAGGGAAAGAATGAAGATGAGTGTTTGGTTCAAGGAAGTTCAGAATTAAGAGTAGCCTCTTTACCATGTTGGGGGAAAACAACTGTACCTCTGAAGTACCAGCTCAACTAAAGTAAATCACTGCTTTTTACGTAATCTAGAAAAATACCTGGAAAAAACCCCAGAGGAGGAGGAAAAGGTAAGTTAAGATACCGCTTTTATATCACACAAACATACAGACATACACATTTCATCCTATCAGTAAGTAAAAGGTAACACTTGTGTAGACCATTGGATTTTTTGACAAACATATGCATTGGGGATTACTGCGGAAAAGCAAAGGCTTCTGGATTTCTCCTTCTGTGTGCCTATGTTTACAAAGATTTTTTTTTTTGTTCTGAGTAAGAGACAGTTCCTAGTTTCTTCCAATCTATACGATCTGTCAATACTCACTTTAGTCTATCTTCAAGTTCATTTTATTTAAAGTTTTAAAAACAAGACTGGGTTTCAGGACACTGCTTTGGTTTTTAGTTTTAAAAGCCCCGACTAAACACAGTAATATCAAGAATTGCAGTTACCATATAATCTTGTTAAATAGGAAGAGTCCGAAGGTGAGAAGAGTATCATGGCATAAGGAACAAAAACCTGTGATTATGTTACAAACTAGAAGAAACTCCAGGAAGCTGCTCACTCCAGCATGCTACCACTGATGTGTAAGCCTGTTGCTGTTAGATGTACACACTGATGCACATCAGAAACCTCCAGGAATCTAATGCTGAGATAAAGCAAGAACAGGATTTCTAATACTGCTGAGTTTTCTGTTTAAGTTTTCTTAATCCTCTTGCTGAGGTTCCCCTAGCAATACTGCTCCCTTTATTTCATTGTATGAAGAATTTTCAGAGTTATGGAATGATACCGTTGAGAATTTTTTCTGAAGTTAGTCTATCTAGGCTAGTCAGTTAGTCAGCCTAAGTAAGTAGCATCCCCTAAAGTAGAACAGTGGTTAAATCAAATCTAAGCCTAGTAGGCTTGACTTCATTTACACAACCATGTAACATGTAGGCATGTATAATTCTAGCCAGTACCTGGAAGAGGAACTAACCTATAATAGCGGTTAAATAATTATAACTGACAGAGATCTCTAGAAAGATGCATCACCCACAAAAAGGGCATCACATAATCACAGAGTGCCAAGTGGGAACCACTCAAAGCTACACATCTCATGCATGAACTCCAAGTAGTCCAACAAAGTATTTAAGCAATTAAGGAATGCATGACAGATAGAAAACAGAAGATGATCACTGATCAGCCATAGTGCTATGCAATAAATGAAGATAATAAAATGCTGTGAAGGAAAAATCACACTCATGATTTTTGAACTTAGAGTTGATCAGCTGAAAGTACTTCACGCTGCTGCGTCACCACTGCCACCATTACTGTCCTGACCCCTTACAGAACCCCAAGTGAAAAACTGTCCTGAACTGGGACATGCAGTTGGGCAAGCCTGAATCAGTGTCACCTGCAGAAGGCAGGGCAGAGATGGATCCCCTCCTGTGAATGCCTAGAAAGGGACTCTAGAGTAGCCATCACCAGCTGGGAAGCTTTTGAATAGACTCTGAGAGAAGCAGTCAACAGTCCTTTAAGTTTTGAGTTTTGTTTTCATTTCAATGTTATGATCACCATTCAAGTTTCATTCTTTATTATTTCATGAAATCAGTTTATGAACTTGTGAGATAACTTTATGTTGCATGAAAAAACCACCTTGCTTTAAATTCCCAGACTTCTCCCAAATTCTGCACAAAGTTGTCAAGGGCCCAATGCATACTATTACAAACCCCAGCAGGCAGAGCAGAGCTTTGGACACCGCCATATCCTCTTCCCCATTACACACAGGCTGGAAGACCTGCTTCACTTGTCTAGACTTGGTCAGCTGGTGCTGGGGAAAGGCAGCAATTCTCTCCTTCTCTCCCCCACAACATGCACATCTCCACAGAGATACTCAGTTTTATTTAAAAAACAATCAGCTTTCCAGGAAATTCACAGTAGCAGAGAAACTGCAAATTTGGGCAGCAGGCAGAGGTAGACATCACCACAACTCTGAAAAACTACTCAAGCTCACAGACCAGAAGAAAGTAAGAAGACACTGTGTGCCTTTTGGCCACCTGGCTGTCTTTCAGGGTAGAAGCCTAAACTGCATAACAGACAAAGAAAAATATTCTGCTTGTGATTCATCCATAGTTTTGGATCTTGTGTGGGTAACCACTTTCTTATCGATGATTACCTTGTAAGTTTGGCAAAAGTTACTGCTTCATTTAAAATAAAATCTCCAAAAACTACAATGCAAACCAAACAAACACAACACCATCACCACCTTGAAGACTAAAGAACAGAATTACTTTTAACATCAGCTCTGGAGAGGCTGGGACTCAAAACTCTGAAGTACATGGACATAGAACAAATTCTGATATCAAAGAATACTGAATTATCAAAAGTTGACTGGTATTAAGAGCTATCTATGTTTCACACACAAAACATGTTCTGGTGTTTGAATTTCCAGTCCTCAGCCTACAACAGAATTTTTCCTTTAGCACTTCTTCACTGAAGAGAGAAATGCCTTTTAGGCTTCTTTCTAAACAAAAAACATTCTGTGAGTGTTTTTAAACATACACTGGTTGTGGACCTGCAAGCTAAAAAAGATTATTTCTCCACAGTATCATTCATATTTGAATTACACCATTCCCCAAAGTAACTTCATGCTTCCAATGTCCTTAAGGCTAAAGCTGTTTAATCTTATTTTGGCAATGGGTCAACTCTGACGTTACAGCATGAGGCTGACCTACTGAAACAAACGGGACCAGGTAAGGCAAGCAGATCGCCTCTCTCCTCCTCTTCTGAGCTATGTAGCTTTATTTTTTCAGTCTTCTATTTTTTTCACCAACTACAACCACCTGTTTGAAAGATGTCCTGATCAGAAGACCAATACATTGTTTAAAACCACATGACTTTATACATCAGTCCCATTCATGGTTTATTAGGATGCCAGGCTCCAGAAATCTTTGCCTTTGCTCAAGAGTGCAAGAAAATTATCAACTAACAGGTATCTAGAAAAACAGCCAGTTATACACCAAATAACCTTCTTATTGTTGCTAATGTGGTATTCAGGACATAACGCCACAACTAGTTGTTACTACATGCTGTACATGCAGATCACACTTAAGCTGCAAATCAAAGGGGCTATTTCATGCCTAGGATCCCTAAGCCACACCATTTTACAACTCTCTCTAAACTCCTGTTTTAAAAGCAAAGGAGAGGTGTAAACGAAAGAGTATTTACTGGGCTTTAACCTGCAGAACTGCAGTGATCAGCTATTGTAAGTCAGCTCTGTATGGGCTAATGCATCTATACCCAGTAATATTCTCCCAGAGACCCTACAGTTTCAGATCCAGCATTCATGCATACAGCCTCTTCAAAGCCACAAAAGTCCTTTTGGATTTTTTAAGTTCCTTTTCTTTTGTAGATTTAATTTAAGGTGTGTGGGATCAAAAAAAAGACTGCCATTTTAGGCGACAATTACTCTAAAAAAAAAAAAAAGCCCCCAAAAGTAAATCACAAACTCACACTTATATTAATTATATAACTCTTTTGACATGTGGCAGAATCATGTTAAACAGCGAAGCAGGTTGACAGCTTGATGTGAGGACAATTACTTCTGCTAATAACAGTAATCTGTTTTGTGATCTTGTAATTCTTAGCCAGCAGTTAATTACTATCCTAAATCCACTCTTGGGGACACTTGGCATAATCTCTCCACATCTTGTGATCTTTCAGCCTTGCTTCAGAACAAGTACTTATCCCATTACCTAATCACTATATTTCTCCATCTTTTTTTTACATCATAAAATGACACCCTCTGCCCTTTACAATATTTTATATTATATATATGTATGTAAGTGCAAAAGTTATGCAGAGAGTTGATGGAATCACCAATAAAGCATCTATACTCCACTCTTTATTTGTCCTGGCTTGGAAGGATGACAAAACAACTACTTTTTAGCATTATAAACAGTTTTAACTACAGAGACTGACATTTTAAAAATCAAGGGGAAGAACCAAAGAAGTAATTTCATTTTTTCCAGCAGCATGATCAGAGACATCAAGGGTGGCAGACACCCTGTATTCTTCCCTAGTCCCAGCCTTCTGCACCAGCTCTTTGCAGCTAGCTCCTTTTGCGAGGAGTGAAGCTCTTGACCCAAGAACCTTCCAAGAGGTCCAAGCTGGACACAGGCATACTGAAATAACTTTCAGGGATCAATTTTCTAGTATTTATTGCCACAATAGGGCAAGCATGGGGGAATTCTTCATGCCATCTTCAGAGGACTGCATTCAGAAGATAAAAGCTTAATGGGAGCAGGGGACAGGGATAAGAAAAGGTATTATGTTGACATCAGAGTAATAAGAAGTCTTGGTATGTTTCTGGCACTTAAGCACCTATTCTTTTTGTTTTAAAAATTCGGTATTCACTGCTCTGCTCTGAAAATGTGATATATTACAAACCAACTGCTTTTACTATTTGTTTGACTGCTTTCTTAAAATTACACTAATCCAACAGAAAGATGCTTTCATAACGCTATTAGATTAGCCGGTGAAAGGAGCATCTGCACTCAACCAGGCAGATGCTTGTTTTCCCTAGTCAAACAGTTACGAGCAGACCGGGGACACCTCTGTCTTTCCTGAGAGATTGGTGGCAGGGAAGGCCAAGTGAGCAGGTGATTTCCACCCCCAGCAGCATCTTAGTGTCAGCTCCATCAGTCACCACCACCCACATACCTGGTGCCCATCATCAAGCGCATGCGAGCTGCTCCTGTCAATAATGTTAACTCTCACAACAGTCTCCAGTGAGGCAGCAGTACCTGAGTCTTTCCAAAGGAAAGGAAGATTTGTCCACAAAATGTGAAAGATTCTAGCTACATTAAGTCCTTCTCTGTTTCC